ATTAAAACTCTTGGAACGTAACTCTCGCAATTTCTCGTCAAGGCCTGTTCTTTCACGAGGTCACGTCATACCTTTCTTGTCGTATACAAGGCAAGGGTGATAGACACAGTAGACATAAGGACGATACATCCACTGAAATAGTAGTACCCATCTGCTAACCAAACAGAGACACTGAATATCTGGAAGATGTAGAAAGGATTCAAAACCTGCAAAGGAAAAAAAAGAACATCGTAAATCGTACATAATACCCCTGACGGATGAGCCAATGAAGACCTAAACCACGCGCTACATCACATTGTTCCTATTAAAAGCAGCACAACAACAATTTGACACTGAGAAACAAATCTTGCCCGATGACACAAACACCTTTGTATACTGGCTTTGATTTCAAAGAAAACCTTTAAAATACAACAGTAGTTCTTACTTGGAATTCTGTTGTTAAACCATTGCCAAGGTATAAATTGTATGTATTATATATCAACATACCTCTTGGATAAGCAGAACAATGATGGGGCGTACTCGAATGATAATTTTGTTGTCACCGTAAATGAATCGCCTGAGACAGAAAAATGAAACCGTTATTACTCATCAAACACCGTTGGTTAATGCTCGATTTTTATATTACAAAGAGAAAACATTCAAAGTAAAAGAAAATATAGGTACAGAGACACGGTGGAGAATTTGGTGTCAGCGGTGGGATTTGGTGGCAGAAGTGGGATTCGGTAATTAATGCGAATTTACCTTTTGTTTGCTTCTTTCTCTGACAGTCCGTTTTGCAACTTGTCGTAAAATTCTGAACAACTTGTGGCGCCATCAAGCACTCTAAGGAAAAAGTTAAGAACGTACGTGTTCAATTAATGACAATTTTCATTGATTATTTCTTGAAAACAGGCATTTTACATTATAGGCTATCAAAATTACAGTTTAATAATTCTTCACTTGATATACACTTAAAATAGTTTGTTTTTGCTTTCTTCTTACCTTAGCTTGAAGAACGTTTCTTCTCTTGGATCCCAAATGTAGCGAACTTTCTGAAATTTTAAATACTTTAAGACGCCATCGATGATCACATCACGGTGCAACAATTTCTTGATGGTCTTTTGTCCGCAAACACTGTCAAAGTCACAAAAAAGTGTACTTGTTTTATCAAGTCATAAAAGTCAGAACGGGAACAGCTAAATGTCTTGTACAAAATCTCAATTTAACAAACAGCTGAAATACATTAAAAACCTTAAACAACGAAGTGAAGACTACTCTCGAGACGAATTATAGATAAGAAATTAATTCCCACGAATGATGTACGCAGTGGCGTAAGTAGGGGCAAACTTCTGAGGGGGAACCTGGTGTTGCACAAATTTTGCAAGGGAAAATGATACATATTTTTTGCTCAATTCAAGATTTTAAATGAGGGGGGGGGGGGCACCCCTTGTAACACCCCCAACATCCCCCGTACTTACGCCACTGGATGTACGTCATTCTAAAATAAGAAAAGTCTAATTAATGACAAAGTTTACAATACCTCTCAGAGTTTACTTCCATTTCCCGAATCTGGCAACTGTGGTAACGCTCATAGATATCCTGCAATGATGAAAGAGACATTATATGTACACGCAGTACTGCGAGCTGATGAAACAAGCAAGAAAGCACTTTCGATTACAGTTCGCTGTCAATTATTTACGACATATGTGCAATTAAGAATTATATTTTTTTTAATAAGAGTTAGCCTACCTTTATAATGACGGAATCGGCCTCCTTGAGGTCACATGTTCGACACGTGACCTTGATCCACCAATCAGGCTTCCAGTAGAATATGAGCGCTGCAAGTCCCACGGTACAGACACACAGGGCGTAGCACAACCACGTCCACGCTTTACTTCGTCGATATCCAAAACACACCTGAACAAAAAAAACAAAAAAAAATCAATTTTTATTAGGTCTATCTCGAGAAACAGAAATGATTCGGGCGCTGACATTGCATAATAAGACATCGATGATTTTGGACATGGATTGGATTTCTAAAATAAGATATTTTGCGGTCAATTTATATTTGATAAACTTTGTAACTTCTCTTTAACAGCTGTATTGGTAATTTTTGCCCCATCGGACGGACTACCAAAGGTTTTTGTTACCGGTTCGCCGCTGTTTTCACTCGTATTATGACGAGCGGCACTACTTTCGTATTGAATTTTAGAACTCCAAAGACCGAAGTTGACCTTTTAAACTGTGTGAACAAAGATGTGGAAACCAACCAAGTAATATTGGTGTGCTGGGTGATCTTTTTACTAGAATATACTTACGATTCAGATTCAGACGTCAAAACACACTTGTTTTTCACTACTTGAATATGTTCTACTTACGAAGGTGTCATCTTTATCTTCCTGTATCTCAAGTCCTCGCTGCTTGTCGCTGGTTCCCTTCGTCATGATTTCCAATCGAATTACGTCTTCCGCCAAGTAGACAATGCCAGCATATTCTATGGAAGATTCATTCTATGGAAGGTCTAATTTACAGCTCTGAAGCGGGGAGGTAGTTAAAAGGGAAAAAAGAAGAAGTTGTTTTTAGGTATTTACATCTGCATAATCTGTACATCTGTTAATCAGCAGCCAATGCAGGCGACTCAGTGTTGATCACATAGAAATACTACAGGCCCTAAATGGTCGATCGGTAAGACAATGCGACATTTTGAAGGTCACAGCCATTCAGATTTCTGCAGAACGAGTGTCGTCCCGGCGACTATGTCAGATCCGTGAGCCAAATTTCAAACTACTAGCCAAAAACCTAGCTTAGAATTTTCTTGTAAGTTTTTTTTTAAAGCTCTTTACATGCTACATATGTTCTTTCATAAAACACGGGTAAGGATGCTATATCTCTTCACGCACCTGCGAGGATTTCTGCCAAGATGGAGAATTCAGGACGCAGTCAAATAGGAATGTCGCGAATCTGAGTTCTTCTAATTTTGAGTTTTTGATGAATGCCACTGCATGAACTGTTATCATTTTTTCTCAGTGAACTGCCCTGCTCCATTGCACGCACAAAAATAATCAAAGCTATAGAAGCTGATCCAGATTTGCCTCAAGCAGGTTGCTGTCAAAGGGGGGGGGGGGGGTAACAGGCATGTGTTACTTTGTACGCCTGATTTTCTTACTTTTTTGGCTTCCCAAGTAGGGGGATGAGACTACACCGCCTGAGGTATCGATACATCAACGCAAATAACACACGATTATGTACACTTAATAGAAGCTTGTATCAGTCCAAATCAGCAGTGAAACTATTTAGAAACACTTCTTTGCCTAGGTTTAAAACGCAGGGACAGATAAACATGTATAAAAGAAATATTGTATCACTTACCTTCAATCTCTACTGACGGAGCTATTCCAATCACAGATTTCTTTCTTTACAAATAGGATCTATAAACCAATAGTCTACACTATAACTGCTGTTTTATACCGAGTATGGGCGTACAGTTATATTTCTTGTAGAGTTCAAAGTGTGAGTGCGCCTAATTACAGTGGATCTATGGAACGAACACAACCAATGCCAAGCACGAATCTGAAATGTATTTGTTGCGCAGTGTTTGTTTACTGGAAGATAAAGAATCTGTCAATTTAATATCATTCCACATATTGATGAAAGTCCACCAAATGATCTAGATAACTAGATTTGGATGGGTTCAACATACATAATGGATTCTGTTATAAAATTGTCCCCCTATTTTCTGCTGTGGCATTGTTATTATCTTTTACCGAGGTTAAATTTGCAGCTATGGCACTAATGAAAACCTCTTTTTGTGGAATGGAGTTTTGACGATGAACAAAACACCCACTCATTTTGGCATTTCCCTAAACTCGGTGCCAGAGGGAGGGCCGGTTGTAAGATTTGGGTGATTTTCTGTTTTTGGTGAACTTTGTTTTTCACAGCAAGCCTGTTACTTCTTTGTGGTGATGTTAGAAGCATCAGCATCATGATTGATTCTTTTTCGGGGGGGGGGGGGTTCGGGCTGCATGCGATTATTTTGCTAGAATCCATGTTGTGACAAGCTTTTGTGGCTCTGAATTTCGAAAATGCGCCCTCTCGTTGTGGTGTCGAGAGAATGCACTTTGCTCACTTGTCAAACCATAGGGCGCCCTCAGTAGGTGGGCTACTTTTAGGACGTCAATGCAAAACATCTGGATTGCTCGTCGGCTATTCCGAGATGCACTAAAAAGTGAAGCTACGCACTGGTTCCCGACCCCTCCATTCGAATGCAGGGAGGGGGGAGGATATTATGACCGAAGAGCTTACTGGAGTTATCTCGCCCATTCCTTGGGATCTTGGTAGCTAAGTAGTATAACCCGAGAAAGGAACGGAATGATGTTTGTTGGGTTGTTTTTTTACATCTATTGCCAACAGAAAAGTCACTCCTTTTGTATTTCAGGTTAGAGTCCACAAAAGTAAACATCAACACCCAGTCGACATTTTTTTTCTAGTTTTGTCCGTTCTATGAGATGCGTTTTAGAAACATCTTTGCAAAAAGTATGATGTCATATTATGAAGTATTGCACTAGCCCCATAGTCACATACGCATTGTTTTGAATTTAGAGCCACATTTGAATTTTCTAATGGAACTGGAGCGAGCGAGCAGTTTACTTGGTGCATTTTCCGGCACTCAGTTTTTATACCAACTTTTGTCGCATTATTATGATAAAAGTGGAACTGGTTCGAATCCCCAGTGAGTTGTTACCGAAAGGTCTAAGTTATCAGCATTAGGGTAGGCGTACCCTTAATCGCCTGAATTTGAATATCCATTATGTACCAATTCTGCAATATACAAAATCGAAATTGAAAGTTTCAAGCCCAAGGGCCCCCCCCCCCCGCATCCCACGGTCTGAACACGCCCCTTTTCAACATAGGGAAACAATATGTAACCCATTTCATGATGTGAAACTCGGGTCTAGTCCAGCTTACTGCATTATAACAAACTAAACGAAAAATCGACAAAATAATATTGAATTTGTGTTTAATTCCCGGCTTATTATGTACATACAATTACTAACTTATTCTGGCAACATGTTTTTTTTATGATGATCAGGCCCTATCTCTCTTATTATCAAAGACATGAATAAATAACCTTTTCCAATATGTTCATCAATTATGATATAACTCGTGTTTGATTCGTGTTTGTGCGTGACTTTTTTAGAGAAAAAAATATTTGTGATATATCAGTTTTTCATATCCTTGTGGTACATCAAACAAATAATGAAGCTTCATTTAAAAATAAAATATTGCAAGTCAAATTATTTTAATACAAATAAGCATGTGTAATTATTGAATACATTGCTGTAAACTCAACTGAATGAGACACCAAAAGAACAAGCCTCGTTGTAATATCAGATATGAGTAACGTCATACTTCATGGGAATTGGCCTCATCGCCAGTTCTTCATATGGCCGTAGAGTAACCTTACGGAAACGTCTACAAGACAACAGCCTCATCAGTCTTCGACTGGGAATGACGAGGAGCTAAAATGAAAAGAATATAAACATTTCAAGTAACTTTCGAAATTTGCTGGTAATAATTAATTGATGTGTTAAAGGTTTGGCGCCCCCCCCCCCCCCCCCCACAGCAGCAGCATATGAGTCTGGCCCAATCGCTTCGAAAGTGAGATGGGCACTCCGTTCCTGTGAACACAGGTTCGTCCCCCTTTGTTTAATAGTAGCTTTGCTTAGAAATTCAATTAAGTGCATAGATAATCCAGTGGACTATTTTAATAACATGTCTAATACATCCAACATAAAAATGTTCATCCACAACTTTGTATAAATATTAATATATTTTATAAGTTTACCAAAAAGGTAGCAGTTTTCAACTTACCTCTACCAAAGCAGATAAGACAAAGTTGATGAGCACCACGCCAAATATGACTCCCTTGAACCGATAACTCGGGATGTGCTTCAGCTTAATTACAGGGAAAAGAAAATCAAATTAATTTTTTCAGCGAAAACAAAATTATAAAGCGAGACATTAAAATCTTTTTTAGCGCAAATACAGCTGACGAAATGACCGATACCAACAACAAATGTCATTTATTTTCCCAACGTCTGGACCAATGAAATTGACACAGCGGATCACGTGACTCAAGGCAACCTATCATTCGACCAATCACCACCTTGTGTCAAATAAGTTCAACCTCCACCCTAGCCCTCCAATCCCAAATAAGCCCCCTTTTGGTAGTCATTTTATTGGTCAAAACCATAATGTATAAAACTCAATTTTCTAATTAAAACCATTTTCATGACATCACGATGACGTACCTCAAACAGCTCCTCAATCTCCGTGGGCGGATAGAACAAGAGAACCAGGCTACAAGCGTGGATTATGATGAGGTCGGCCATGTACAAATCTGCAATACATACATAAAAATGGAGGCAGCATTATTTCTAAGGAAAAGACCTACGACATTTTTAATTAGGTCACAAAAATGCGAGATCACAAACAACACAGGGGAAATGAAGCCACTCTCATCACACTGATAATGATGAAGTTCTGTATGACGGCAATGTGGTGTCAATAGTGACAATTGGTGACAGTTGACATTGACAACAATCCCTTACATACTTAACAAATATAATTACCACTGTGACAATTGTGATGTGCTTTTGATGGACGGTGATAACGATGATCATGACGCGATGTGAAGATGTCGTTGACCGTAACGGTGGTGGCAATCAAACGACTCATGCGACAAAGTGTCGATTATTATACGGCAAAGTGAATGACGACGACTACGAAATGATGACAGAGCAACTGCAAGAACTAGAGTGTTAAAATAACACTAACGGTGTTACTTTAATTCCTCTATTTTGGAAAATCCAGCGATAAAACCGCCAGAGTTTATCTAAAACTGCAGTTTTGTTGTGCATGCTTAGTGACAAAGTTGCTACCCGTATTTGAGTCATTCCATAACTGTAGGGTCCAAAGTTTGATATTTTCCTATCCCTGTTACCTTGGTACTTTGTAGTTTGCCATTCAAGTATCATTCAGAATGACTTGAAAAGATATTCTATTCATTGGGTATACATAGCTAGTTTGCTAATCATTCCTGGAGGACAACTGCATTAAGGAGTGCATCAGAATCACAAACTCATAGATGTCAGATGTAACAGGGACAGGAAAAATAAGTGGACCCAAAATTTATAGAATGACCCATTTAGCAATATGAAATCGACCATAACACATCGCTGAAAATGTTTGAATCATTTACAGTTTGAGTAGAATGCTTTCCGGTAGGGTTTTCCCGGCGTGTACACGATGGCAACGGTGGAATACTGAAACATGGCCACTAGGAAAATGGATGTCGTCTCCCAGCCGATCGGGTTTCTGGAATCTGCCTCCGGATCCAAGGGAACAAACCTGACAAGGAAGAAGATTCAATAAAAGTCTCCTAAATCCTTGAATTCAATTAAATATTTGTTTCAATAATATTGATGTACATATTACTGTTTAAAATTGCGGCTTTTAATCAAGTAAAAAAAAAGTTATGAAAAAAAATAAAAATAAAATGCAAAGTAAAATGTAAGAATTAAGAAATGAAAACTAAAGATCTAAATCAAAATGATTTTCATTTTATGAATATTTCTGCGATTCTCCACGAAAAAAATGCGATAAGTAACGCTTTTAATTTAAGCTCAGAATTAGGTTTTTTTCACAAAATCAATCCAACGTATTTGTATTATACAATTTATTGTATTGTTATACGGTTACCATGGTTGCTGTTTGAGGATGAAAAAGATTGCAACTTGACAAATTGCTTGGATGAGGACCTGCATCACCAGGGAAACCATCACCGGGGTGATAGCGAGCTTACTAGGCGGCTTCTGCCTCGCTATGGCGTGGTAAGCATCGTTACGACCCACTGCATCAAACCAAACATAAAGCAATCATAAAAATCGCTCGCTATTATTACTGGAGGTCCAGGCAGAGTTGTAATCAAATTTGTGCATAGGTTGGCACAAGCCATCACAAGTCATCACAAGTCAGTCACAAGTCATCACAGGCCATCACAACTCGTCACAAGTAATCACAAGTAATCACAAGTCAGTCACAAGTCATCAAAAGCCATCACAAGTCGTCACAAGTCATCACAGTCATCACAAGTCAGTCACAAGTAATCACAAGCCATCACAAGTCAGCCACAAATCATCAGAAGTCAGTCACAAGTCACCTAAAGTCAGTTACAAGCCATCACAAGTCATCACAAATGACTCACAAACCACCAAAAGTCATTACAAGTCAGTCAAAAGCCATCACAAGCCACCACAAGTCATTACAAGCAATCACAATGCATTTCAAGTCATCCCAGGTTATCCAGTCTTGAGTCAATTGACAAGCTCTGTAAATAAGCCGTGACGGAGGCATGCGTGCCTGTCGTAACTCCTTATCTATGATCTACCTTCTGATTTGACTTATGACTGACATATGATCGACTTGTGTTTGACTTATGATGGACTTGTGCTTGGCAAGTGATTTACTTGTGATTATAAGTAATTATTGATCTGGGCCAGCGCCAGTTGCCGATCCTGTACGTTTCCCTGTGACGTTTGTTTCCGACTCGCAAAATCATTAGTTATTACATGAAAACAATGTGCTAAACATTTCAATAACTCATCAAGCACCTAAAAAATGCTAGACAGAGTAATTATTGCATGAACTCACTGCACAGGATGACTGTTGTTATCACGAAGATGTCGGCATACATGAACATAAAGTCGCTCATGTTGGATTGATACTGGAAACAAGTTCAAACAAAGAAACAAAGCAACAAGTGTCAACAAACAGTGAAGCTAAAGATGTATTGACAAAAATGTTTTCTTGAAAATAATCAGCACACTTTATTGCGAGGAACAAAAAGTTTCTTTTTATCATACTAGTTATTTGCATCTCAAAAATTCACATTGGCCTAACGTTTTTAATACTGCTTGTTTCTGGTCCTCGTCCAAATATTTTTTTCTTTTTAAATTATAAGCAATATTTTCGAAAAAAAATGAAAAATATTTGAATGCAAATGACGAAAAAAATGGAAATGTTGTTGAATAATTGACTTTTTTAACCATTAGTAATTTGCTTAGATACTTACAGAGTAACAAAGGATGACGGTAATAAACTGAATCATGCTGTAAAGTGCGATGAACTTGAACATTCCGAATGACGTCACCAATGCAGAGCGACCCTGCCTGTCAGATTTTTAAAATGGGAAAATGTGTTCCATGAAATTGTTGTTTAAATAAATAATTTGGAAAGTTTTTAAATAGTCGCGTTTGAGTTCACGGGAAAGGAATGCTTACTTGATCACGTCAGGAATGCACGATATATTTGGAATTTTAGACGTGAACGGCGCAGCTACGGAGGCCTCTGTTTCAGTAAGTGCCACACCAGCGTGTGCTGCTTTCAGTGCGCCGCAGTCGTTCGCTCCATCGCCACACATTCCAACGCGGTATTCTAAATCCTGGAGCGACTGGACAAGTTGAGCTTTCTGGTCCGGTGTCATGCGGGCAAAGACTGTGCCTTGGACGGCAAGCTTCAAGTTACAGAAGTGAAATGAAAACCAGAGGTTAAGGTTTTGTATAGTGAGCGATGGTCTTTGGTTCGAAACCAACCCAAGCAAGTCTTACACTCAGCATATAGTTTATTAAAGCGATACTACAAAAGTAAAAGGAGATCAGTGGATTTGTATTACCTCCAAAACTACAAAACTACCAAACAATGTTCACATGAATATTCGAGTCTAATGAAAATTCTGAAGTGTTCAAAAAGTATAAAGTTATACATTTGAAGCTATTTAATAATGCTACCTTTCCCACAGTGTCGGCGTCTGTGTGTTCCATGATTGCTTGGAAGGACTTTCCATCGATGGCGTAGTGCGTCCGTCGACCAACTGTCGGCTCAATCTGAAGATGAATCTCTTCACAATCCTAGGAGGGGCAAAATGTGCAAAGTTACTGCAACAAAACAACCAAATGTAATTCTTTTTCTCGAATAAATTGCAATGAGGAATTGGCCAAGTTTACTTTCAATCCGTATTAGGCTTGAAAAGGAAACACCAAATTAACAATATCAGGCCGAGTCCGATATCTTGTCTAAGGCTATTTTGTCAACAGGTCTGCATTACAACTACGTGGGAATAAGATGATAATAAACGGAGCCGTATTGGAACCCGTTTGGGACAGGGGAATGTCTCACATTTACTGAAGAAAGTTTGCAACGCAACTTCAGCTTAAAAAAAAAAAACCAGATGGTCAAAATGTATAATTCACGTCTGTTTGCAACCCAATGCTGTCGTTATGCGTTCTCTTTCGCTGAAACGTGCCCCATGGCCTGTGACTTACCCCATTCCCAACGTGATCCTGGAAGCTTGTTTCCTTCTTCCCAGTGCCTCCCACCACCTGAGTGAGCCGCAGTTTGTTGCCTTCGTGTCCCTGCTCGGCCTCCACCCTGACGATGTCTTCCCCTGCTGATATCATGCCACATTTACGGGCAACGTTGATCGCTGTGAGGATGTTATCACCTACAATCAGAGATAAATAATTTCAAAGGGTTATCACATTGTTGTAATAGCTTTGCAACCAGACGGTTTTGTGGAATGGTGGAAAATACAATATGAGAGATGCTAGGATACATCATATCAGGACTAAATTTGAAAGAGAAGAAACAGAGGTATTAATAAGTCGACGTTTCAGTCAGCTTACTCTGATCGTAAGGCCAAAAAAAAGTCTCCGGTTTCCGGTATGCGCGCGCGTCGCCGTAGCCATGCGCGTCGGCAAAATGAAAAAGTTTTTTTTTCAATGAAAGATGATGTCTCAAAACCGCCAAACTCACTGGTTTGACTGGAATCCTGCTGCTGCACAATTTTAACGTGTTTTTAGATGGGGTTATGGTCGAGAATAAGCTTTATGTGGCCTCTCTGGACTCCCATATATTTGCACGAAGTTTAGTCGGGCACCATTTGCAATCCTCAGCCGACATTTGAAGCAAAAAAATCAGGTAAAAAAAAAAAAAAGCCGCGTCGCCGTACCATTTTTTGGGCAAGCTCCATACCAGAAACCGGAGACTTTTTTTTGTGCCTAATCAGGTGAAAATCAGGCACAGCAACATACCTTAGCCACAGCAATTGCTTCTTTTTTCCGGTAACGCGAGATATTGTGAAAAATTCCAAGTTTACTTGACAGAGCTATACTGTTTGCATGAAAGTGGAAACGAACTGCGCATGACCATGAAGGCAAATCAAGACAAGTTGCTCCATGGTTCAAGTGAGTCCGACCAACTTGAATTGAATACGCCCATCAAGCACAGTTCGACAATTCTAGTTTCAAATTAGCAACGCGCATCGTGTACAGCAGAGAGACAGGGTTTAGACATTTCATTATGACATTTTGACTATAGTTTAACTATAAGAGATCTCGATCGAACTTGTTTGTGAATTCTCATTCACCTGTTATCATGACCGTTCTGATGCCAGCATCTTGGAGTTCCCGGATGACAGGTTTTGTCTCTGGTTTGAGCTGATTCTGCATGATCAGCAGACCCAGGAATGTCAGGTCGTTCTCCACCTGGTTCCTAATCAAGAAAGTTGAGAAATGCTGGCGATATGTGGACTTGAAAACAGGACAAGGGCTTTATATGATTGGCAAGAAAAGAGGAACAAAAGAGAACACTGGCAAATGGAGTTCAGAAGTGGCCAGATTTTTTGAAGGAGCATCTTACCGATTAGGCCTACTTGCCAACGAGGAGTTTCTGAAGTTTACAAGGTTTCTTTCAAGCAATACCTGTTTATTTGTCGTGCTTTGTGCCAGGTGAGTTTTGGATCGAGCTGTTTGGTTGCCATGGCAAGCACTCGAAATCCATCCTCTGTGTATGAGTTCAGTTGGTCTTGAAAATCTGCAGGAACTAAAAACACAACCCCGCCAATGTCAAGTAAAAACCAAGACGAACTCGTCTACAAAACTATTGTAAAATTTGAGGTAAAATATTGTACGGTACACTTTTAATTCTTTGGTTACCCCAGGTACGGCCATTATTTTAATCTGTTAGTTTTTCATCAGTATTTGTTCCTTACCCGTGGACCTCTTGGAGAGAGACGTGATCATTTCAGGCGACCCTTTAACGTAGAGTTGCATGGTTTCATCTCGGAGAGTTCGCGTGATGACGCTCATCCGTTGCAGTTCAGAAGAGAAGGGGAATTGCTTCAAGATGCCTATCTCAAGATCATCCTAAGGTCAAAAATCGCTGTTATTGTTAGAGCTGCCTCGGGAATAAATTTAAAGCATCGCACAGATGTGCAAATACTGTGCTTTTTTTCTTTAAACCTGGCATTTCTTGGGTTGTTGCTATCTTCATATGCTTGTTTCCCTTATTGTTTTATTTAAATTATTTGTGTTTGAGTATTGAGGAAAACAAGTGGTATTTGTGTTGAAGTAGTCGACTGATTTGCACGAATGTGGTCAGTGTAGTTATTGTGACAGCAAGTGTTAAAATTAACTGCCCCGCCTAATTTTAGGGCAATGTGAACACCGAGGGTTCCTCCAATTTTCTCGAAACACCATAAATTCAGGCACGAGATATCCTAACCTCAACTGTTTTCCATGGTGGCCGTACGATGGTGGGTACCAGCATGTCAAAGTTGGTACTTTCTTGGCTTGTAGGTTCCTCAAGATCCTGAACAAAGAGACATTGATAAGATATATGAAATAACCACTTCAACATGGCAACTTTAGTATTTTGCAATTTGGTAAGTTAAATTTTAAATCAGCAGATTGTGGTTTATTAAATCTGCTAATAATAGGCTGAAACTGCAACTTAATGGGCCTCAATCTTTGTTTATGTCAAGATCATGCTATACGTACACTTTAATAAGACAGCGTTAAAAGAGCCATTCGATCTGCCATTTTCATCGATAATTTTATACAAATGTGATCTCCAACAAACTTATAAGGGGTACAATTTCTAACCCTAACTCCCTAGGGGGTGTGCAAAATCATATTGAAATTGGAGGATTCAGGACTGTTAGGGCTACATACGGAAAGTGGAGGGAGCGTAATCTTTGTCTGAGAAGGTAAATAAAACTTACCCATCCCGTAGCTTGGAACATCTTGAGGTCAATGGGGTCACCACTCAACTCCCCATTGATGACGGTCAGTGAGTGACAAGTTGCCATGGCAGCGATATGGTGACCAATGGGATCGTCCGTTACAGACTTCTTGAGTTTACCAAAACTGGGCCCAAGACAAAAAAATAACTACTGTGAGCAATCTTTATAACATTGTGTTCCATGATGATTCCCAACAAAATATCTTTGATTAAATCGTAGATGGACGATCATACTAGTCAAAAACACAATTTGCAAACGGTGATCTATTATTTCCTTACATCCCGCCTTCAGCAAGCTGAACGCCCTTCATGTCCAGGCCGTCCTCGGTAAGGGTGCCAGTCTGGAATTAGAATAGAACAGTAGAATAACAAAAAATTGATCAACGAAAAAAGGTCAATTGTTGTGTATTCAATGTGAGTGCAAGTTTTGTGGGTATAGGTTGTTTTTGTTTTGTTTAGCAGCTCATATGAAATCGGACCAGATAATAATTAAGCGCAGTCTAAAGGTAGCCGACGGAACAACAAGCATTATCACAATGCGGACACTATATGCGAGAAATTAATGAAATGCAAATACTTTTTAAGTAAAAGCGTATTTTCGCATAAGTGATTTTTAAAACAAATCATTTCAATATAGTGAATTCATTCTCATTAGTTAAACTATTCTAGATTGTTCTGGCAGCCAAAGTTTGACAAATTAAAGCAATCGAATGAAATGAAATGAAAACAAACCTTATCGAAGCAGACGACATTCAGAGACCCACAGGTGTTGATTCGCTGAGGACTGATGCAGAATATTCCTTTAGCTTTCAGACGGAACTGAGCGTATAACATTCCTATGGTCAGGGAGGCAGGCAGAGCAGGAGGCACCGCGATCGTTATGATGTCGAGGGCTCGTAGAACGATAGAACCCGCTGAGTACTGCGAAAGAATAGTACACCGAAAAAAAACCACCATCATTCTTGGAGATAAAAATTATAGTGTCTGTTAGATTGAAAGAGTGAACTTAACTATCCGATTAAAGACATTTCTTGTCCCTACTTTCAGATTGAATTTATTTTTATGATGTGGAAATAGAGAGTATTATTACTATTAGGATAAGTCATTCCTTTTCATATCAGAAATAGAAGTACATATACATTGTACTTACGCCGAAGTTAATGAAGATGACAACTGCATAGATGAAACCGATGAGAGCTGAAAATTGACAAAGCATGGACAGAAAGTGGCTTAAAAATCCATCAAGAAATCATCCTTACACTTTAGATATACACAACCGAAGCATCTGCTAAATTAAAGATGACTATAAACAGAAAGTTTGTCATCGAAAAGCGAAAAAAAAAGCGTTGTTGAGTTTTAAATGTAATATCATGGATGGAACTTACCAAAAGTAGCCAATACGCCAAGAAATAGAAGTGCATCTTTGAGCATGCTGAAATCCATCGGTTTGGGGTAGAGAATGGAGCGAACCAAGTTTCCTTTGGCAGTCGAAAATCCTGCAAAAAAGTAGTTCACAGGTAGGTTTATCATTTTTCAAAACCACCATATCATGTTTGGAGTGTCGTTTAATGCCGTGCTTGAATGTGGTATCATTGTTGTGACATTATTACCTGTTTTGACCACCACCGATTTGACCATTTCCCCCTCGTAGTATCGTGTCTGTATGATGTGCGTTCCGCAGTATAGCGTATGGCGCTTATGCTTGTCTGCGTTGTATCCAGACGAGCCATCACCGTCAGTATCGCTGGTACACGGCACTGGTGTCTTGGTTACTGGGACGCTCTCACCTATGAGAGACAAAATAAATCCCTCAAAAATGTTTTACTGTGCCATGCAAATACTTCCGGAGTGTTAACTTTCTTACCATGAAGATCGAAAAATAAAGAGTCCATGATCTTATAAAGCTGGTTCCAATCCGCAGGATCCGAACTGTGACTTAACATGTTCAAAGGTCAAATATTAATGCAGATGACGGAACTACTTTGTCCTACCTGTAAGCATACTCTCGTTGACGATGCAGTTACCGGTGAGCAGAACCGCATCACATGTCATCATGCAGCCCTGCGGAGGAACAACGATGACGTCACCAGGCACCAGCTGATCCTCCGGTATTTGGATACATTCTGAGTATGTGAACGATATATCAGTGTTTCATTTTTTGGAAGAAAGAAACCATTTAAACCTATGTGACTTCAAACAATCACAACTTAAGACTGAATTAAGAGTCGACAGAAGTCAAATTTAGGAGGAGCAACAGCTTGATCAATTTACAAAGTTATATATACATGGATATTTTACTTTAAAGTGTGATATCTAATTGCCCAATAATTACACGTTTGGTAATGCTGATTGATGCCTTTCAATTTTAAAAATTGTTCTAAAGCTGTTCAGAATACAAGGAAAGGTCGACAAATGCATCAAATTTTACCTCCGTTTTTCCTTAGAACTTCGACGGTTGTGTTGGACTCCACCATGTTCCTGAGAGTAACGCTTTGCTGAAGAAAGAAAACATGTTATTTAACCAATGAAATCAGCCTGCTGATTCAGCCAAGATTCTGCTGCATAGAAATAAGTTCTTACAAAAAAATTACTGCATGAATAAAATTTTCGTCAAAACCTGCTTGTTCATGCCACACAGTCACTTCATGTTACCTTCCTGGTCGTGTACAAAGCCAAGGTGATAGACACAGTAGACATAATGACGATACACCCGCTGTAATAGTAGTACTCATCCGATATCCAAACACAGACACTGAATATCTGGAAGATGTAGAAGGGATTCAAAATCTGAAAAGAAAAAAAAACGAAAGAAAAAAGGACAGTAAAAATTGTTCCTCATTCAGCCACAGCAGCAATTTGAAACAAATCTTGCCCGAGGACACAAATACCTTGAATATTGGTTTTGATTTCAAAGAAAGATTTAAAAATAATTGTTACTTGGGATTCTGGTGTCAAGCGATTACTCAAGTTATAAATTACCTACGGTGAAATAACTAAAATGACATGTAACTGACATACCTCCTGAATAAGCAGAACAATGATCGGACGTACTCGAATGACAATTTTGTTGTCACCGTAAATGAATCGCCTGAGACAGAAAAATGAAACCGTCATTACTCACCAAACACTATTAGTCAACGCTCTATTTTCATTGCACAAAAAGGACACAACGGAGTTAAGAAGATACAAAGACACGGTGGAAGATTTGGTGTCAGCGGTGGGATATATGGTGGCAGAAGTGGGATTCAGAAATTAAAGCTGATTTACCTTTTGTTTGCTTCTTTCTCAGACAGACCGTTCTGCAACTTGTCGTAAAATTCTGAACAACTGGTGGCGCCATCAAGTACTCTGAGGAAACAAAAGACCGTGGTCAATTTTATAGCATTTTTCATTAACTACTTCTTGAAAACGGAAATTTCGATTTATGGGTTATCAAACTTTATACGCTGCTGACTCGATCCTAAAATGGAACATTACAGTTAAATCATTCTTCCCTGTTTATAGACTTGAAATATTCTACTTTTTTTGGGAGGGGGGGGGGGGGGACGGGGGTTTCTTCTTACCTCAACTTGAAGAACGTTTCTTCCCTTGGATCCCAAATGTAACGAACTTTCTGAAATTTCAAATACTTTAACACGCCATCGATCACGACATCACGATGTAACAGCTTCTTGATGGTTTTTGTTCCGCAAATACTGTAAAACTCACAAACATTGTAATTATTATTCTGGTCCATTTGGTTAACCAGAAATGAATCGATTTATTTTCTTTTTGTAGGCTGCAAAATAAACTAAACTCAATTGACAAATTACAGCTGAAATACATGAATATGAAACGACAAAATGAAGAAAACTATAGGACAAATTAAAGCAAGGAAATTACTTATTTTTTTTCAAGAATGATGTTATTCAAAAACAAAAACAAAATCCAAATTAAGACAACACTTGCTGTACCTTTCAGAATTCACTTTCATTTCCCGAATTCGGCAAACGTGGTTTCGCTTATAGATATCCTGCAAAGATGAAAGAGACATAAATGTATACGTAGTACTTTGACCTAAGGTAACGAACTAGAAACCACATTTGCATTATCCCAAAAGTAACCTATCAAATTATTGTCAAAATGCTGACTTAAGTTAAAGATCGTACTGGTACTAAACACCCGGTGAAATTATTCATTCTGTTGTCGTGATTTTAGAAGAAACCAATAAAAGTGGGTGATTTCCAACTATAAGCGCGTCGTGTGCGGCGCTTACGCCCTTACACGCGAACGCGTCATCACCAAAATCTTTCCAGCAAAAGGGCATATGCAGAAAACTGCCTCTATTTTAAACAAATTTAAACATTTTCATCAGAAATTTAGCACAAGTTGTTTCAACAATTATGATTGATACGTGTGACAAATTTAAGATTCATACGATTTGTGATACGCATGGGAGAACATTGGATTCATAATACACTAGGAACATTGGAGCCTTTCAATGCCAGTTTCTTGAAGTGATTTTTCGCGTCAGAAAGCTCATATGCCCTTCTGCCGGGCACCTCTCAGGCAATTGACTGATCGTTGTAAATAAAGAGTAACATTAATGAAATGGTGTTGCGCGATCAAAAGGTTGCGCATGGTTTTTCACTGTTTTCTCGAAAAGTGTAATATCCACTGAGCTGGAACTTCAACAGGATTGGTTTTGAACATTCTTCTTTGGATTTTGAGTGGTGTTATTATTGGAAACGAACAAAATGCATGAAGTGCAAATATGCATTCAGGTTCGCTATCAATTATTATTTATGTATGTGCAATTAAGTAATACATTTTTTTTCAGAGGTAGTCTACCTTTATTATGACGGAATCGGCCTCCTTGAGGACACATGTTCGACACGTGACCTTGATCCACCAATCAGGCTTCCAGTAGAATATGAGTGCTGCAAGTCCCACGGTACAGACACATAAGACGTAGCACAACCACGCCCATGCTTTACTTCGTCGATATCCAAAACACACCTGCAAATTAATACCAAATCAATTTGAATTTCAAGAGCCTGTCTTGAGGAGCATCGGGGCATGAGCTGACATCAGCGAACCTTTTCCTGATTAAACATTCAATTGAATAGTTATCTTTCAGTCAATGTTTATTTTGATAATCTCCTTCACTTTCTCTTCGAAAGCTTTATCAAAGTAACAATAATTTTGTCTCGAAAGGCAGACTGATGAGGGAAGGGTTAGATTTGTCTGACACTGTTTTCACTCGGCCTTGGCGAGCAGACTATAAGGTTAAACCCTGGAAATGAATTTCAAGTTGAACTTGAGATGCTGGATGATGCCCTTTCAAATCTGTTTGGGCAAAAAAAGATGTTAAAACTAAACAAGTTGTGTATTTAGATGTTAAGGAAATCCTTGGACGAATACACGATTCATATTAAGATGCAGTGTACATTGCAAAGAACAGAAAACGTTACAAAAACAAATTTTGAGAGCGACGAAAGAACACCTTCTTTATCCACGGAATGTCTACTTACGAAAGCGTCATCTTTATCCTCTTGTATCTCAAGTCCTCGCTGCTTGTCGCTGGTTCCCTTCGTCATGATTCATGTGCCAAACTGTCTTCCTTAAAGTAGACGATGTCAGCTCATTCTGAGATCAGTTCACAAGCGCGAGGATAGTTGAGAGAAAAAGAGAGAACATGTGGGGAAAGATCTACGATATTACTTATAATCATATTTGAATATATAAACATATCAGTTTATCGAGAGTCAATGTATAGGCGACTCTATCTTGATCATAGAAAACCTTTTAGTCCTTAATGGTCAACAGATAGGCCAAAAATCCTTCCGCCGAGCTCATGAATAATTATTATACATTCAAATTATTCTATATTAGAGAGTTCTGAGAGCCATGGAATTGGGGGATTGAAGACATGTGGCACTGCACCCTCAGCCTGGACTTGGGGCTTCCAATTCTGAGCATTTCGGATGCAATTGGGTCTGAAAGTGGCGCTATTTAGCCATGTGGTGGAGGGATCCTTTTTTAAATGGCTACTTTTCCAGTTTGGGAAATATCATTCGTTTTAGGGGTGGTTCGAATCCGTGGGTGAGAATTTCTCCAAAAAGTCATTGGTCAACCCACCAAAAATTGAAAGGAAAATGAGAGACGACATGTTGACATCATTTTTCTGTGCAGCCTGAACACCTGCAATAGTTCTGAGAATTTTAAAAGAATTTTGAAGTATGGGGAGTTATCACTGGTGTCTATGGAAATTTATTTACTTGGTTGCACCCATATTAAGATAATGTGATATTTTGAAGGTCAGAGCCTGCATCAATCCCCTATCTGCAGAACGAGCGTTGTGGGTAATTGTTAAAGTCAGATCCCGGAGCCCATCATCAAGATAGGAGCAACTAAGCCGATAACATTGATCAGCTTTTTTCTGTTTATTTACTAAGCTAGCTCTAACTGTCTGCTCCATTTTGTTGTTTCATAAATCACAGATTCGGATGCTTTACTTCTGACGAACCTGCAATGATTTCTGGAGGCAGGTTTCAGGATGCAGTTAGTGGAATGCCGCAATTCTCCCACAGTATTCCTTGTGACGAAAACAAATTGTTGAAAGAGTTGTTAGATAAAAGCAGTGGCAGATTTTGTACGAATGTTAGCCCTTGAACAACTTCTTGTTTTCCTTTTCACTTTTACCAACTGTCCTGCTCTATTGCGTGTACCAAAAAAAATCAATGTTACATGTGCGGATCTAACTTTGGCTCAAGGGGTTTAACTGTCAAAGAGGGGGGGGGGGGGCTTTTTTCTGCATGAATTTCCTCTTTTTGGAGAGCCAAGGAGGGGGATTATGTCACCTTCACCATATACATGTACACCCCATAGACCCCACACAGAGTTTTAGCTACATCAATGCAACTACCACACGATTATGCACATTTAGTACTTGAAGCCAATAGCAGTCCAACTCAGCATTAGAAATCTCTATTAAAACAATTCTTTGCCCAAGTCGAAAATATGGTTTTTAAACGCAGGGAAAGATATACAAATTAAAGAAATCTCATTGTATCACTTACCCAATCTTTGAGACGGAGATATTCGAATCACAGATTTTCTTTCTTTACAAATGGGGCTTATAAACCAGTAGTCTATAAACATTATATTGTGCTACACTGAGTGTGGGCGTAGAGGTAATCCTTGTGTATATATATACACAGAGAGAGAGAGAGTTCAAAGGTCCGCTTGCTGTTAATTACAGAGGACAGAACACGTTAGATCGAAGCGAACCACAAGTCTAAATACGTTTGTTGCGCAGTGTTTGTTTTCTGGAAGATAAAGAATCTGTCTGTGTATTGATGAAAGTCCACCAAATGATATAGATAACTGGTTTGGATGGGTTCAACACACAGAATGGATTCTGTTGTAAATGTGTCCCTACTTTCTGATGTGGTGTTAATGAGTTTCAATTTGCAGCCTAGGGCACTAATGAACATTTCATTTTCTCTGGAAGTCTTTTAGCTATTAAAAACACCTATTTTTGCCTTTCCCAGGCTAAATTCTAGCCAAAGGGAGGCCCGGAGGGGTAAGACTTGTGATTTTCTGTTTCTTGTTGACTTTCTTGCACAGTAACTATTACTTCTCGGTGGTGATGTTAGCAGAAGTATCATGATTGACATTTGGGGTGGGGGGGGGGGGGGGGGTTCGGGGTGCATGTGATTGTTTTGCTACTCCGGTTGTGACAAACTTTTGTGGCTCTGGATTTCATAAATACGCCCTCTCGTTGTAGTACCGAGAGAATTTTGCACTTTGCTCTTTGGTCAAACGCTGATAAAGGGAGCCCTCTGTTGGTGGGCTACTTTTAGGGCGCTTAAAAAAATGTCGTCAATTCAAGGATGCTGGCCCCATATTTTGAAACGAAAGGCAAGGGGAATATATGAGAACTATGACGGAAGACCTTTAATACTGGAGTTACCAAACCCATTCCTTGGGATCTGGGTAGCTAAGGAGTATAATAATAACACGAGAAAGGAACGGATTCGGATCTTATTTGTTTGTTTGTAATTTGTTTGTTGGGGTGTAGGGGTGTTTGTTTGTTTGCATGTATTGTCAACAAAAAGTCACTTCTTTTGTATTTCAAGAACCCGACCCTAGCCGGTCCACACAAAAGCAAATATTAACACCCAGTCGACATATTTTTCTAGTTTTAGAAACATTTAAGGGAAAATGTTGGGGACATTGTGTGTTTTGCTGTATTTTAACAGGGAAATTTAAAGAGTGGATTATAACAAAATAATAATTGCTCATCTTTGCAAACAGCATGATGTCATGTTATAAAGTATTCCACTAGCGGCAGGACTCTATTCACCTACACTTTGCTTTGAATTTAGAATCAAATTTGTGTTCTCTAATGGAACTGAAGCGAGCAGTCTGCTTGGTGCATTTCCGGCACGCAATATTATGTCTTTTGTCGTACTATTGACGGTCACAAACACACGAATAATGGTCGTCCATTTAGTGTGTATTGTGCTGATTTGGAAAACTACTGGTATTATTACAGGCGTTTCCGTGTTTCGATACGCCATCGGCAAGCGTGCATGGTCGAAAAGTCTACTAAAGTGACAGCTACCTGTATAGAAAAGAATCTACATATTCACTTGTAACATGTAGGCCTACTGTGTCTATTTTTCTCGTGGCTTGTATTGAGGTTCTCGTAGATTCTTGAAAATCTTGGAGGTCCTCTGTATAATAAAGAACTGTCCATGTAAAGTGAATCCTATAGTTATGTATGAACATATGATTCAGCATCCAAAGAAAGTTTTGGAGATCTTCCTTTTTGTTAACTTGGGGAGGGTACAGTAACAGTAGACATAAACATAAATCATGAGATGAGCGTTCATTAGTGGCGAATTTGTATCGAAGAGGGCGTCCCAATCTTCTCTGCTTCATCATAGTTTTATACTTTGCACTTCAAAGTGCTACATTTTCAACTGACAACAGGTGGAATATAAATTCATATCACACAAGATAGATACATGTATTAGGTAAAAAGTAAGTTGCCTAAACAAACTTTGAATGAAACTGTACGCTTCGATTTCTGGCCCACATTTTATTTGGGGAAGAGCAAAATACTGAGGTAGCGGGTTTTTCCAATTCTACTCTTCGTCTCCGGCTTAGGCTTCAACTTTGGCCAAAGAATCATTGTGAAGCATTCGATGTTGAAACCAAAAATTTATTAGCCTAAATTTTGGCCGTCCCGTAATATAGAACCTTTGTTCTTGGAACAGACACGACGTAAGTTGAGTTAGACAAACAACCCCCCCCCCCCCTTGAGCTTGAAACGAACCCAATTCTCGAGGTAAAACAACTTCAGTCTGTTATACAATCATCATCTACAAGTTATAAGCATTACTGTGTCTGGTTTACATGACGTCAAATAGCATAACAGGTTGTATGGTTTTAACAAATCGTGCATCAGCAAACCCTTCGACAAATTTGTACGAGAATTCTATTTTTGATGCCAGGTAATCAGTCATTCCAAAACTGTAGACTTGGTTTTGTATTAAATTTTCGATCCCCATTCACCGTAAAAAGGCTTTAAAACTCACAATAAGTGTCAATATGCATAGACGATTGCTGGCCGCCGAATCACAGATTTAAGGTGACCCGTGGCGGTGAACCTTTGACGACGCTCGGTGCATCCGGTTTCGCGGAACAGCCTGGAGCCCTGGGTGTGATCCCAACTATTGTCATCGGAGCGTTCGAAACTGGCTGCCTTTGAAATGAGAGGGTGGGTTACCTGACCTCCTGACCTTTTTGCCGGATTGGTTTTAGTCACCACGCAGACACGCCTAAAAATAAACACAAACAGACCTTAAATTCACGACTCAGGCGAAAATTTTATCGAAATAATTGGAAGAGAAATCTATAACAAACAATTATAAACAGTCATTCATTGTTAAAAGCATGACGCGTCGATAAGCCCTGAAAGTTAGGATGTCGGTTTATTTAGTAAATTCACACATGAAATTAATTTTTAAAAATGGTCTCACTCGGTTTTTCTTTCTGGAATGTTGGAGTGCTATTTTTAGCGATGAGGGCGCTCTTTTCATTACTTCCAGGAATGGTAACAATGCTTCTACAAATACTGGGTTGGCGCATATTGCATTGAACGCCAGTTTACCATGAGCAAATGAGTTTACATGTATAGAGCGATGACGGCCATGGGTTAGATTATTTTTATACTTCAACTATATAGGTCAAATTTATGGTGACAAAAGAAGGAATTTCACGTAGGGCCATGTCAGTTTTCTAATGAAAAACATGATTTTTATTTTCCTCTTTGAGAGACATTATTTGTTTGCCGCGTGACGACCATAGGCCTATATAGTTTGATAGTAAGACGGTACTAAAACCTAGAGACCTATAAGTTTACGCCTAAACAATCAAGCAACTCAAAAAGTATAGGGTTTTCAAATCTTCACCATTCATAAACAACATTGATGTAATGGGTTGCAGTATAGAGCGGCTGTTGTACATAACGTTTCTAGTTAATAATGTATCATTGTTGCTGACTAATACGCCTATACTTATACTGATGTATTTTTCATCAGTTTTTTCCCTCATGGAAGAATAACAAAACGAGCTCAGTAGGGGCCAAACCATAATCAATTATGAAAATATGCTCGATCTCTCCGGACAATAATCTTCGCTTTATACTTCCTAAATAGGTCTATACTTTTCAAACTGTTGTGAAGCAACAGCAGCAGAGCTCTAGCGGCAGTAGCTTGCTCTAAGATCCACCGACCACCATTTTAGGTCACTGTTCTTTTCACAAGGGCGGATCCGGGGGAAGCCAACGGGGGCCATGCCCCCCCCCCCAAAAAAAAAAAAAAAACCCCAACAACAACAACAACAACAACAACACGGAAACCATTTTTTTTTAAGTGACGTCGCAATAAAGGCAGGCACTGCGTACACCACCATCTCTTCCTCAAAAAGATTTGGTTAAAGTGGTCAGAAATTGCCTCGGATCGAGTCACAGAGCATCTAGAATCCAAAAGAATTTCGGGCCCCTTAAGCGGGCCCCAAACCCAACACAGTAATTTTTAGGACCCACTTTTTGGGGGACCAAAATATTTTGTGGCCCCCCAAAAAATTGTGTTCTGGATCCGCCCTTGTCTTTCCATTTGTCTTTTTCTACGCAAAATTCTGCACAACAAAACGACAGGGCAAAAGACCAAAATTCTAAAATTTTCAATAATCACCACACATATCGTGACATTTACACAACAAACCGATTTTTTGTAAAATAATGTGAAGGCTAAGTGGAGATTTTCCAACAATGCGCGCAGACAACGAATGATCTTTGACCTAGTCTAGCTAAAGCCCAGCATTTTTTGGGAAAAAAATGAGATCATAAAAAACCCATTAACAGATCACGGATTCACGCATCAATGGGGCCAAGCTGGCTGAACGCTGAATGAACCTGGGGAAAAAGATGATGATCATGATCATAATGAAAGTCAGTTTGAATAAATTATCTAAAGAGGTTTTTATGACGAGCAATTCATCAAGTTTTTATTCTGTGGGGACAAACCAGACTTGTTAATCCGTGAATAATATGCGTTCTTTGTGTATTGAAGATTTATTAAAAAGCAGTTCTCATGTACAGACCAATAAATATCAACAATTTTCATTGTCTGATTCAGTCGTTTATCTCTGACATAAGAAACGAATGACGATCAAATGTACAGACCAATAAATATCAACAATTTTCATTGTCTGATTCAGTCGTTTAACTCTGACATAAGAAACGAATGACGTTCAACGTTTCGAGTAACTTGGTTGACCATCTTTTGTTTAGCTGTGAAAAAATGCTATGATTCTTTCATGATATTATTCGCTGATGATGCACAGCTAAAGATGTCCTTAATAGCATGCTTGAAGGTCAAAGTTGACACGTACTTGTAACTCATTTTCGAGCCGACGCATCATGCACTATTCAAATCTCTCAACCGTGGTGCATTACACTGGATATTTCAAAATGGCTTTGAGGAAATAAAATGGAGAGAAAAAATACCGTGTAGTTTCCCAGCCCAATAGCTTAATCAACAACAAAGGGATATGGATGAAGTAGTGCAGTACGAGGCGTTGACACTGTTACTGTGCCAACAACAACGTCAGGGGAATCCCCTGGTT